CCCATAGTCGCCATTTTCAAGTTACGTGCAAAAATATAGTTCTTACTCTCAACCGCTTTTGAGATAATACAAACGCTGAATAAAGCAACAAAAATAAAACGAAGTTTTATCTATATAAAATAAACATTAGTAGTAATGACTTTGAAAACTTCATAAGTCAAAGAACATAGTTCCTTAGCGTAAGGATTTTTGATAATCAGTGTTACCGTAGTTCTCTACACATACGAGGTATTAAAGCAGGAGAGGGAACCAGACTGGCCTGTTTGTTTACATTCAGCTGCGGTACCAGATTAATTCTGATTCTGACAAAATCGGACCGTGGTATTAGGATTGAAAAACTCACTGTCAGTGTCTTATCACTATATTGATAGTTTTAAAATAAATTTTCATCAGAATATAAACGTGATTCATGTAAGAAATCCATTCTACTCTGTAAATGAGCCCGGCTCTCTGTACTTCTGAGTACTTTGATGTTAATACAATGTTATGTACACTTTCTCGGAATCTCGAAGTTACAGAACAAGACTTGTAATATTGCATGCTAGGCAATTTGTTTTCTTTTGTTTTTTAGCGTCCACACTAAAGTAAAAAAAAAACTTTCTATCTGAATAAAAAAAAAACACATAATGAAATGGAAAAGCTATGGTGGCATATTTCTGCCCCTTGTGTGCAAGTTATTTTTCTATCAAATATGTCGACATGCAAGATAAATATGATGACATGCAAGATAGTTATGTCAACATGCAACATAAAAATGTTGACATGCAAGAAAATTGCAATCAAATAAATATTATAAGAAATCTTCAAAAATCTCAAATATCGCCCACATGTGACATCCAACATGCTAAATGCTACTTATTTATGTTAACGTGCAAGATAGATATGTTGACATGCAACTTATTTATGTTGACATGCAACTTATTTATGCTGACATGCAACTTAGTTATGTTGACATGCAAGATAAATATGTCGACATGCAACTTGTTTGTGTCGACCATGCAACTTATTAATGTTAACATGCAACTTATTTATGTTGACATGCAGCTTAGTTATGTTGACATGCAACTTATTTATGTTGACAGGCAAGATTAATATGTTGACATGCAACTTATTTATGTTAACATGCGACATATTTATGTCAACATGCAACTTATAAGTTGCATGTCAACATATTTATCTCGCATGTCAACATAACCAAGTTGCATGTCGACATAAATAAGTTGCATGTCAACATACATAAGTTGCATGTTAACATATCTAAGTTGCATGTCGACATAAATAAGTTGCATGTCAACATAACTAAGTTGCATGTTAACATATCTAAGTTGCATGTCAACATATTTATCTTGCATGTTAACATAAATAAGTAGCATTTAGCATGTTGGATGTCACATGTGGGCAATATTTGAGATTTTTATATTCTTTATTTTATTGCAATTTTCTTGAATGTCAATATATTTATGTTGCATGTTGACATAGCTATGTTGCATGTCAACATATCTATCTTGCATGTCGACATAGTTGATAGAAAAATAACTTGCTCAAAAGGGGCAGAAATATGCCACCATAAAAAGCATAACATGAAGAATTTCTTATCATCGGGGAATATACTTTGTATCAAATATAAATTACTAGTGTAGCGAAATTAAAATTTTTGGTACACAAAAAGGGGTGCCGATCTGAAAGAATAAACTGTGTGGCAAACATTTGTATTTGTACATTTTCATAGTGTGTTTGTTTTCAAATATACCTAAAAACTATTTTTTTTTATTTTTTATTGATTCTTTAGTCAGCATTTTAAAATCGCTAAAATTACTTCTCGCTAAAAATAAAATACCAGTTCTTAGGTAGAAATCGTTAAATTTGCGTCTCGCTAAAATTTTCACTTATACGGTATGTAATAGACATTTATGTCATTAAGAGTTATCTCTCTTATCAGAGTATCGATGTACCTTAAGACATAGCCGGGGTGTTGAGTGAACAGAGCTAAAACTCGTCATCCAGGATGTCAATGTTAAAGTGGCAATTTATTATTATTATATGCTGATATAACATGAATTGAATAGAAAGGCCATCTTTCAACTAATGTTTGATAGTCCTTTCCCGACTCAGGGTAAAATAAATTTATTGGTCGGAAGGTAGTTGGGATTTTTTTCTTAAAAACTCTATTAACATATGTGTTATCGGGAAAAGACCCAACAAATCTTGTCCTGGAATATTAAAAGTTTTGAGTCGGAACATTTTTAGTTCGTCGGTCGGGAGAGTGCAACTTTTTTTTTGTAGATGGCCTCTAGTTGCTTTTATTTTTCATTTTTCCAATAATGTATAGGGCCTAGCTTATTATTTTTTTTTTTTTAAAGACGCCCAGAACTCTTTTTAGTGGATAGCTCGACATGTTTGTTTAATAAAAAGAGCTTGAAACTTAAAAAAGAAAATAATAATTTATAGTGATTTTTTTTTGGGGGGGGGGGGCATTTTTAGTTGATCGGTAGGTAGCTGGAAGCTAAAACAAATCACTTTTTTGTAATTTAGGCTCAGATTTCTTGAATTGCATTGTTAACGCTTACAGGTGATAGTGCTTTTTTCAGGTATCATTAATACATTCTCAAAAGATGTCGCCATATCAATATTAATTAATCTTCTATAAGAACATCGAAGCGCCAGAATATCAATAAGATCATATTGTCTTTTCAGCCTAGTCTATTGTTTGTTGTTTTTTTTTTTGTTTTTGTTTTTGTTTTGTTTTACATATTTTAAGCATAAAATCATTGTCGGTATAATGCTCAAAAATAAATAAATAAATACTGCGTGTATCTAGCTGTATTTTATTTCTATAAATTGTTGCAAGTTCAATACAATGTCAAAGTGACTTTTTATCGCGAGATTTCAACATTAATATCAGTGACTACTGTTTTTAAAAATACATTTTATAAAAACGATGAATATTCACAGATCGATCTCTCTCTCTCTCTCTCTCTCTCTCTCTCTCTCTCAATCGATCGATCGATAAAATATTTATATGCATGTAAGTATCGCCAGGGGAAATAAGTGTAAACTGTCCAAGGACTATGGATCATTAAAAAAACTTATGCTATGGCGCGCCAAATTTTACAACGCTAGCGTACTCCTAAACCTACGTCATAATTTAACGTCAATGTAAAGAAATATGACGTCATAAATTAGACCAGTACCAATTTGAAAATAAAGGCCCATACTTGTGTCGAAATTTAGATATTACTGTATTTAATTTAAACTGAGATAAATGATAAATAAACGAAAAAGTTCAACATGTATTACAAAGCGACATTTTTGTCGGTTTGGCGTTGACACGGTAAACGACATTTTTGTCGCTTTGGCGTCGAAAGGGTTAAAAGATTGTATGATAGCTAAATTAATGCAATGTGTCCAAGAACATTAAAATTATTTTTAAAAAGTATTCTCACAAACATTTCGAAAAATTAACATTGTCTTTATTTTGCTAGAATTTAAGTATGATTTTGACATCGCATGTCGAAATGTTTTGACGTCATAGTTACATTGCTAGTAACAATTCGTCACAGAATCGAGATTCCTTGAACGCTCCACCCACTGAATAGCTTGATTGGTTTAAATTACTAATAAATATTCATGAGGGATTAGTCCCAGGGAATAACTTCAATTTTTCAGGGAGTAGTCCTCAGATGAGGGAAATAGTCATTTCTCTGGGAAATAGGCAGTTTTATGGTATTAACCTTATACAGAGTTATAACAGTAGATGTATAATGAAAGATCAAAGTGCCATCAAATGTTCATAGACAAAAAATAAGCGTGCATTACCAGGGTTTTTTTGATATCCCAATAATTGAATACAAAAGTTAACCTGTATATTTATGCCCCCTTCGAAGAAGGGAGGGATATTGCTCTGCTTGGACTTAGATTTGGAGTTTCCATTCATTTTCTTCACAGAGGTTGCACATATTAAAATGAAATTTGGTATACAGCTTTATTTTAAGAATATCTAGGTCAAGTTCTGGTTTGGTATGATCGAGCCCTTTTTGAGTTATATATGCCCGTTGGACTTTGAAAAAATTCCAAATAATTTGGGGCGGGGAGCATAAGTGTTTTACAAACATGTCTTGTTTTTTAAAGTATGTGTACTCTTCAGTAATATAGGGAATATTCTAGATTTGTTGACATATGATGTGATCATAAACTCCTGATAATGGGCCTAGGAGGGTGATAATTGACTGAGATGATAAACACGTCATATATGCTTGCCTTATAGAGAGGAATTATGTTAATATAATTTTGATTAGAAATCATTAAATATTAATAAGAATTCAAATAAATATCATCTACATGTTTTAATTAAGTATGTTGACAATTGTTTCATTAGAAATTAACAATATAAAACAGCTAGTCTACAACAAAAACAGAGAATGTCCTACCTATGAATTTTAATAGGCATGGTTCATTAATAATGCATATCTTACTAGTTCTTATCACACACCCCCCCCCCCCCCCCACACACACACACACATATATATACATTCCACTGATTGAATTGAATTGAACATATTTTATTGACAAAGTCAAAAGGATCGGACACAAGTTCAGTAACTTAGATAGTCCTCTCCTAATCTCCACTGATTACTCATTTTATTTTTCCCAGTGAAATTTTTAAAAAACAAAAAAAGTTGAAGTTTACACTTAGCTACACAGAAAGTGAAAATCTGAGACATGACAGTCTTCTTATGAAGGATTGGTCTTGTTTTTTACTTGCATGCCAAGTTCTGTAGAATCATTAAATGTCAAGGGAGTTCGTTTTACCTGCATTGATATTTACAACCAGACTGAATATACATGTAGATATCAAGACTATTAATTTCTTTGAATCTGTAAATGTTTGCATCGTACAAAAATTGGCTCACATTAATTAAATATTTTTAAATCATCCCTTCTTGTAAAGTTATGCCATATTCATATAGAAAGACCATTGGCAAATGCTAATTTTATTTTAGTAGGTGGACGGGCCAGTTGTCCTGGTATGTTTCGTGACGTTTACAAACACTGCTGCAAAAACTACCTTGAGAGGGTCCAGCTTATAGACAACATGCCTCAAGTCTTCCCCGAGTTACAGCCCGAAAAATCTCAATGGATACTGCAAAATCCCAAGTAAATTTCACCCACACTTTTGAAATAAAAATAATGTGAATTGTCAACTCGGTTATTCCTGTACGGAGATTGATATAGATCTTGGCAATTTATGCTTACTACATGTATTTATAAGCACACCTTATAAGTTGGAGAAGCTGCTTATTCTGTACATGTACAGTCAGCATTAATGTAGATGTGCTATTTTCTTTCTAATCCCTACTTTGCTCAGAGATACATGGATGTTAAATTTAGTGTGTTTCACTGTATCTGTAAGGTTTCAAATGCTTCATTTTCAGCTTAGGAATGACCATATTAATGTTTAGTAATAGGATGAATTTTGGTTTAACACCTCAGCAAAGTGTAGAGACCATCTGTTGTGGATCTTTTATGCTATTTTGTAAACAGTTCTAAAAACATATGATGATGAGTTTAATTCTTCTAACACCTTTCATGATGATTATTATTGCTTTATACCTTGAAATGTAAATAGTTTCATTAATTTTATAATGTATGCTGTGACTTTGATGTGATTTGGTGTGTATACCTCTTGTTCAAACTTAACCAATCTTTTCAGGGAGACGGAAGACTTCTTGCCAGTAACAAAGGAGAGTGTTAGATTTCATGTTGTTTCATCAGAACAAAAAGTGGGAACACCTCTCTTAAAACAACTCAAAAGATTTAAGGCTGAGTTCATAGCTGGTGAGTAGAGAGTAGAGATATATGTCATTATTAGCTCCTCTGAGCTTACCTGAGTTCACCTCATCTTCTCCAAAACAACAAAGTTATGTTAGTCGTATTTACATGGAAGCATCCTCAGATGGTGTAGATTAAAGTTTGTTCAAATCATGCCCTATGGGGTAGAGTAGAACTACAAAGATGAAAGGAGTTTGAAGGAATATATAGGTAGAAGAATTTGCTAGGGATGAACAAAGAGGGTCATTGTTAGTCAGGTGAGTGGTGTGGCCCCGCCTCCCTTATACAGGAAAATCATTTTTGTTCAATTTTCCAAAACTTGTCTCACACTTTTAGGCTTGTAAATTGGCTCTAATAAAATTTTTGATATTTATTTTTTGCTATCTTATATCACATCACTTATTTTCTTAATAATATTTTTTCTCACCTTTTCCTGTTGAAATGCCATTTGGAAAAGAATATACAGGACAGTTACCACAAAATGACTAATATTCAAATCAACAGACATGAGAGAGAAAACAAGCCTATGGTATATGTAGGGGTTTTTGTGTTATTTTAAAAACTGGCTAGAGACTAAGTCAAGTGTCTTATGTCATACTAAGATCAGACACAGCTACTCTGTAGACTAGGTCAGGGTATTGTCAAATCATCAGGTTGAATGCATTACCTACTACTACATAAACTACTTATAATGATGTCTATGGGATAAAGTCTTTGTCAGAGCTTATTGTCTGATGTCTTTGTCAGAGCTTATTGTCTGACATCTTTGTCAAAGCTTATTGTCTGATATCTTTGTCAGAGCTTATTGAGGATTTAATTTTGGAATTACGTGTTTTAGCGAAGTTGATGATATTATTTGTAATTGCTTTTTAAGTGAGCATTTTACAATTGCTAAAATTACCTTTCAAGGAGAAATTAAAACCAATTTTTAAGGACAAACTGCTAAATTTGGGTTTTGCTAAAATTTCCACTTAATATACATTAAAATATTTTATGAAGTGCCAAAATGACACCTGGCCATCCAGCGAGGCATGCAAGTTTGTAATGGGCAGAGTCAAGCAGTTGCATGGAAATCAAGCTTCATCCCCCTCAAATAAGACATGCAAAAAATCTGATGTGCCCTGGTATATGCAGGAAAAAATAACTTAAAGTTTTTATCTCATATCTCAATGAAGTTAGAGGAGCTTATTTGATACTCTAGACATTGGCATCACAGGTTCAAGATTTTGAAACAGTTTAATGCGGCGGAGTCTAATTATTTCTACCCTAGGGATTTTGATAATTTTTCATTAATTAATTTTTACCGTCATATTTATTGTTTTTAGATTAAAAAATTGAATGTTTACCACCCCAATTTCATTGGGGACCATCTCAACAGTTGTCAAATTTTACTATTGGACCCTATGGGAATTTCTTGGAAAAGCGCCCAATTACCATTTTTGTATTTTTGCCCTAGAGATTTCTTCGTCAGTCAAGTAGATGAGTTATTGCAAAAAGTTACCAAATTGTGAAATTTCAAGAAAGTTTACCATCCAGATTGGTCTCGGTCTTAATAACAAAGATAATTTTTTTGATACCCAATACCTCTAAAATTGCCATGCTTAGGCATAAATTAATATCAGTACAGATGAATTATCGGTGCAGATAATTTGTTCTGATAAAAAATAGCAATATTTAGATTGCTAGTATGTTTCTTTTGATGTTCTTCATCAGTTTTTAGTATAATATCCATGAACGTCTACAAACATAAAAGCGAGTCACATGTCATTCTTCATTGTCATGCATTGCTTACAAAATCGGCAAACAGCTAGTGACCTTGTTAGAGCCATTTTAGCATTTGTTTCCTAATTGTTGTCGTAAAATCACATTTTCAGCCCAGTTGGTGTTATAAATAATGTTAACTTTATATTAAAATCACAATAATTGGAAAAGGTGTACTGTCATTCTTATGACTGCATAAAATTAAAAAGCTGTGCAAAGTCATGCGTACTCGATTTAGACTCGCCCTCGGCGAGCAGTGCTCTACATTAATCAGAAATGCATGGAAGATGCTTCTTTATGTAGTATGTTAAATGGTACCAGTCAAAATTTCAGATGCTGCAATATCAGCAAAGACATGACAAGGTTCATGTTTTTGAAGCAGGTCTCATTTCCAAGTATTTTTCAACCCTATGTTGACCAAACTTGCTTGAATGGTATATCTAATGATGCTTCAGATGCTGACTTTGACCATCATTCCTCAGATGAGTGACCAAGTTAATGTTTTTGGAGCAGGTTTATTCTAAAGTAACTGTAAGCTCTATGTTGACTAAATTTTCATGGAAGATACATCTGAGTACGCATACTAATCAGACTTGCTTCAGATGCTGGATAAGACATATATTTTTCAGATGAGTGACCAGGTTAAAGTTTTGGCACATGCCCACTACCAAAAACTATAAGGCCTATCTTAACTGAGAGCACTCTCAAACTTGCCTCAGATGCTGTATTTGAATTACATTTTATAGTTTGAGTTTTGTATAAGACCATTGTAAGTTTCTGCAAGCCTTATCAGCTAAAAAAATTGCATAAATGTTGCTCTACTAGGTGAATAGTTCAATGTAGGACATTTTCTCACTGATAAAGACAACATTAGTTGAGGTGAGCTCTGTAGTCTCTGATTACTTGTACTTATGTTTGATATATATAAAAATTCAGTCTCAGTCTAGATCCATTGCAAAAAATGCTGAAATTAAGAGTGAAGATTCAGGAATTATTGTGCATGGATGATGTCTTGTCTTGAGCGTTAACCCAAGTACATGTATGCTATTTAATTTTCTCCTAAATCTCTGCTTTTCTTTGAATACTTTCAACAGACCTTGTACACTCTTACAAATTATCATGTTATATTATTGATAAACCTTGTTTGGGACATTCATGTCCTTTGGATATATTTCTAATTTATATACTAAGTTATTTTTTTTTTCAAAAAAATATTTTAAGGAACCTACAACCTTTTTGCTGGTGGTCCTGTTTGGGGCCTTGCCTGGTGTCCTGTACCACACAATGTCCAATGTGACCAGTTTTTGGCTGTGAGCTGTCACAGAAAAATGGATGAGTGCCATGAAACAAAGTCACTTTACTCGGGAAAAGGTGCAATCCAATTGTGGAATATTGGAGAACTGAATTCTCTGTATCCAAAGTGAGTACATATTAGGTTTATTTCAGACTTACACTTGAATAAGTACATTTTAGGATTATGCAATCCAGAATTAGACTGAAATAAGTCCATTTTTATTTATGTATTCCTGACTTAGTCTTTCATAAGTACATTTTTGCTTTAGATATACCGGGTATGTATGTTCCGACAATCCAGGCATCACATAATATTAACTAATCTTTTATCCAGTCAAATTATGTGTTAGACTTACAACCAGATTTAAATTATTGAGCGTAAATTTTCTTATCATAAGATGCATTACTATACATAATTTGATATATTATTATGATATTTTTCCAGGAATTCAATGAGTAGTAACGTTCCTGTCCTGGAGTTCTGTTTATCCCACAGCTTTGGTGTTATTTACCAGTTGTGTTGGTGTCCGAGCAATGCCTGGGAAAACAAGGACGAGAAGGTGAAAATATTAATAATACTAACAGAATTCTAGATTTTTCTGTGTGTAGTTTTCGCTATATGAACATAGAGCTCCTGAGGGTTGTGCATGTAGTACACATGTACCTTTAATATAGCCACACTTATTTGTTTTCAATGTTTTTGTTATCTCTTTAGTACCATGAAGACAAAAAGTGATTACATAAAAAATGAAATTGATGTGAAAATTGTACTACAATGCATCATGACGTCATGTTATTTGCTTTTTATCATAGAAAGAGTATGCATTGTGACATCACAAATTTATATACCCCCAGCTCAAGTTGGGTGCACGGAAATTTACACCCAACTCTGTAACCAATCAAAGCTCATGTTACAAGCTACATAGGAAATAAAACAGTGTATCACTAGGTCACTTAAACATCAGGGGGGCCAAACTGTGTATCACTAGGTCACTTAAACATCAGGGGGGCTAAACAGTGTATCACTAGGTCACTTAAACATAAGGGGGGTCAAACTGTGTATCACTAGGTCACTTAAACATCAGGGGGGCCAAACTGTGTATCACTAGGTCACTTAAACATCAGGAGGGCCAAACTGTGTATCACTAGGTCACTTAAACATCAGGAGGGCCAAACTGTGTATCACTAGGTCACTTAAACATCAGGAGGGCCAAACTGTGTATCACTAGGTCACTTAAACATCAGGAGGGCCAAACTGTGTATCACTAGGTCACTTAAACATCAGGAGGGCCAAACTGTATATAACTAGGTCACTTAAACATCAGGGGGGCCAAACTGTGTATCACTAGGTCACTTAAACATCAGGAGGGCCAAACTGTGTATCACTAGGTCAGTTAAACATCAGGGGGGTCAAACAGTGTATCACTAGGTCCCCTAAATTTCAGGGGAGCCAAACTGTGTATCACTAGGTCACTTAAACATCAGGGGGACTAAACAGTGTATCACTAGGTCACTTAAACTTCAGGGGGACTAAACAGTGTATCACTAGGTCACTTAATCAGGGGGGCCAAACTGTGTATCACTAGGTCACTTAAACATCAGGAGGGCAAAACTGTGTATTATTAGCTCCCTTAAATTTCAGGGGGACTAAACAGTGTATCAATAGGTCACTTAAACATCAGGGCGACTAAACAGTGTATCACTAGGTCACTTAAACATCAGGAAGACCAAACTGTGTATCACTAGGTCACTTAAACATCAGGGGGGTCAAACTGTGTATCACTAGGGCACTTAAACATCAGGGGGGTCAAACTGTGTATCACTAGGTCACTTAAACATCAGGGGGGTCAAACTGTGTATCACTAGGTCACTTAAACATCAGGGGGGTCAAACAGTATATCACTAGGTCACTTAAACATCAGGGGGGTCAAACTGTGTATCACTAGGTCACTTAAACATCAGGGGGGCCAAACTGTGTATCACTAGGTCACTTAAACATCAGGGGGGTCAAACAGTGTATCACTAGGTCACTTAAACATCAGGAGGGTCAAACTGTGTATCACTAGGTCACTTAAACATCAGGAGGGCCAAACAGTGTATCACTAGGTCACTTAAACATCAGGGCGACTAAACAGTGTATCACTAGGTCACTTAAACATCAGGGGGGGCCAAACTGTGTATCACTTGGTCACTTAAATATCAGGGGGACTAAACAGTGTATCACTAGGTCACTTAAACATCAGGAGGGCCAAACTGTGTATCACTAGGTCAATTGAACAACAGGGGGCCAAACTGTGTATCACTAGGTCACTTAAACGTCAGGGTGACTAAACAGTGTATCACTAGGTCACTTAAACATCAGGGGGGTCAAACAGTGTATCACTAGGTCACTAAAATATCAGGGAGACCAAAATGTGTATCACTAGGTCAGTTAAACATCAGGGGGGTCAAACAGTGTATCACTAGGTCAGTTAAACATCAGGGGGGTCAAACAGTGTATCACTAGGTAACTTAAACATCAGGAGGGCCAAACTGTGTATCATTAGGTCGCTTTAACATCAGGAGGGCCAAACTGTATATCACTAGGTCACTTAAGGTAAGGTTTGCGTCTCCCTCCAACTCATATTTTTTTTAATATGCACACATGCTATATATCAATTTATTCAGGGAGATAAGCTCCATCATTTAATATGATTTTCAGAGATATTGCCCGTCCCATTTTTTTAGTAAAAGACGCCAAATTTAACGTGTTTCCTATTTCACCTCGAATATTATTTTCATTGAAAAAATTGATTTATTTTATAAATTATCAAACTTTTATAATTAAAATGACCCGAATTAGTATAATTCATGCTTCTATTATTTAAACTTTAAATTTTCCGTCATCAAAAATGTGAAAATTTGTGTAAAAAAGACGATTTTTCAATTTTCCTTGATAAAGTGAAACCGTTGCCATGGCAACAAAAATATAAAAAACAACGTCTTACATATCTACCGATTCCATCAAAATCCACGAAGTTATTAATTTGATCATTTTCATTAATTTGAACTAAAAAAATATGTATGTCCCCAATATTATTTCCATGGAAACAGGGGCTATATTATGGGTTCGGAACATAAAAATCAGGCTTTTCCTACACTTTTAAAGACAACATTGATATCACCTTGTCATGGTGAATGTTAAAGACTAAATGTTATTTTTGATATTGTTTTTAGGCATAAATTGGCCAAAAATATTCAAAATAAAACTCCTCCTGTGCTACATGATGGTCTAAAAATTTATTCCACGGAAGAACTCTAGTCTTTTATGGCAATCTTTACATCTGAATATTCTGATGAATTTGTCCATGAATTGAACTGCAACACCTTTAGAAGTACATGTATATGTATATAAACATACTTCAGAACATGTTGCAACTAAACCAATTAAAAGCCTATGAATTTGACCTCATGCTGATTTAGTTATTCCAACATGTAGTAATTTCTAGACATCTTTGTAGCAAAATATCTTTATTCAGTCATGGCTGGTGACTGTCATTATACACGTATGTCATTTTTTTTTTAGTGAAATGTTGTAAACATTGCATCCATGAAGCTGCTGTGTTTATAATTACATGTAAATGATTTCTTTACTTCGAAGAGTAGAAATGCTATCTTTAAAGTAATGTTTGTTTGCCCTGAGGCTCCCTTGACTCAATGTAAAATTATTGGGTCGGTAGGTGAGAAAATCTTCAACAACATTTTTTAAGGGGGATAAGAGGAATAAAAAGAAAAAAAATACGGCCCTGGATTGAAAAAAAGTTTTCAGTCTGGTCATTTTAGTCAGTCGGTCTAGAGAGGCCGACAACCAAATATTTCTTAAAGATGACCTATTTCTACACTTCATGGACATTAGCTCAATCATTGGATTAGGTAATCTGAGAATCTATTAAATTGAAATATTGATTATCAGACAGAACAAAATAAAGATGAATTTTAATTCATACTTTGATGAGTTTACAGAGTACATCTGATTTCAGAGAAAAGGCAAAGTCTGCAAAATGACATAACACTGTCATAAATATTTGTCAAGAACAGGGAAAAATAAACAATGCTACAGTGATAGATATATCTCCTTGATATTCATGAAATAATAATTTAAATATAACAAAATTTTCTCCTTTTTAAAATGAAAATACAGAAAAAAATTAAAAGATTATAAATGTAAACAATTTTAAAATAAACTACATGTATTTGTGAAAGATTTCAATTTTAGTAGATAACTAAACTGGTCTTATCATTCCTACTAAATTAACAACCTTACAATTTCCAAGTGTCATGTTTTAAACTGTTACATTAGATATAATTATACATGTTCACTGCAGCTTTATGTACAAAACTCATCAGTTTTCAGAAATATTTATTTGAGCATATTAGGTTCTGGTAAGAACAAAATTTAATGAATAAAATATTAATTTTAATTGTTCGTGTATTAATTTCCTTGCAATTTTACAAACCCTTTCTTGTTACATGTAAGTTTAGACAAAAGCAACCTTCAATTAATACCTATGATGTATACATTTATTTTACTAAAAACAAATTCAAAGATGGACAAACAGAGCATGCACTGCAATCATCACATATGCATATTTTCTAAATATATGGAAAACAACATGTATATACTAGAAATGATGATGTTAAACATTAAATTTTCTTCTATAATCTATGGACATTTAAAAATATGCATTGGGTATAACAAGTCAGAAGTTCTTCTCCAAATCTCCATTGATTTTGCCATGTCTGGTTCAACATCTTAGCTTGATCCATCCATTTTCCTTAATATTCTTGAGCTGATATGGGATGACCTCTACTTTGATTGACGGCACAAATCTTTTAAGGAAACATTGAAGTACTTTTTAGCTCACCTCAACGAAGTTGGGGGGAGCTTATGTGATACCCTCGGCGTCGGCGTCGGTGTCGGCGTCGGCGTCCCAGGTTAAGGTTAAGTTTTTTGGAGCAGTTTTCTTTTTAATTACTTCTGTGTCCTATACTGATTAGACATGCATGGAATATGGTTTTAGTGTGTTTTATTGTACCAGACAAAGTTTCAGATGCTGCAATTTCAGCAAAGGAATGACCAGGTTAATGTTTTTGGAGCAGGTTAACATTTTTGGTGCAGTTTTTGGTGTGGGTTTCATTTCCAAGTAACTATAAGCCCTATGTTGACCAAACTTGCATGGATGATACATCTAAGGATGCATACTACCGGGCTTGCTTTGGATGCTGAATCTGACCTACATTTTTCGGTTGAGTGAACAGGTTAAAATTTTGGTGCAGGTTTCATTTCCAAGTAACTATAAGCCCTATGTTGACCAAACTTGCATGGATGATACATCTAAGGATGCATACTACCGGGCTTGCTTCGGATGCTGAATCTGACCTACATTTTCCAGTTGAGTGAACAGGTTAAAGTTTTTGTTGCAGGTTTCATTTCAAAGTAACTATAAGCCCTTTGTTGACCAAACTTGCATGGATGATACATCTAAGGATGCATACTACCGGGCTTGCTTTGGATGCTGAA